GCACTGGAAATCTGAAGAGCGTTGATGGAATCAACGGTGGTGGTAGGTCTTAGCTGGATTATTCTTTCTGTTACACTTTCTATATAAATCTGTCACTAATATTTGGTTATTGTGTTTTGTGTATGAGAGGTGAGGAGATCTGGGTTTTTACAGAGGGGTTTTGTGCACCGTGTAAAGGGTGAGCGTATATCTCTATAAGGTTCTCTATTCTCATAGTATAATAGCTTATTACCCTGGAGAGTGGATCTAGGTAATCTGTAAAGATTACCGAACCACTATAAATCATTGTGTCTTTTATTTTCCAGTTTATTATCTGTTTATTCTTTGTGATTTATCTGCTGTGTTGGATGTTGGTTTGCTATTGGTTTTTCGTTTGGTCTATTTCATTGCAACAAGTAACATAGGTATTATGACAAAATAAAGAAATATCACATTAAGTATAACAAAGAGTATATACCATGACTAAAAAAAAATATTATCATAATATTTTGTTCCAAAAAAGGAACCTATAAGAAATATAGTAAAGAAAAACATTTTTATTACAATATTTCATCACAAATTTTTGGCGTCAAATTTTGGCGCCTGAGAAAATTGTTTGTTATGACAAACATATTTTGTCATAAAACATTTTAGTCACTAGATTTAGTTATACATGCTATAACTACAAATTCTATTATCACAAAAGAATTTATTTATTATTACAAGAAAAAAAAAATTGTCATAATATATGCTGCAATAGAGGTATTAATGACAAAATGTTTGAGTCAAAATTTAAGAGTCAAGATAAATTATTTATCGTGACAAATATATTTGTCATCAAAAACTTTAGTCACTATATTTAGTAATACATGTTATAAGTACAAACTAATTTCTTACAAAAGAATTATTTGTCATTACAAAAAATAAATATCATTTATAAATGTTAAAATTGAGGTATTAGTGACAAAATATTTTAGTCAAATCATTGCAAAAAAATGTACATTCTGCAACCAAATTTTTAGCAGCTGCCTAATACTAGTTGCAGATACCCCACCTTTAGCAACTAAAATGCAATTGGTCGGTAGAAGGGGATAAAACCATTTATTCCTATGTTTGGTGTCTAAAATTAATATCTTGTGATTCTTTGATTAGTTGCACAATAATTTACATTAGCGACTAATTTGTTTTGTTGGAAATTTTTAGGCTAAAATTTTTCTCGATAAAGCAGAACAATTGACATCTAAATATGTGATTTCGCATCTAAATTTTTTGTTATAGAAAACAATTATTGACAACTACACTATAGTAGCTAAATTAGATGACACATATTTGTTAATTAATTAGTAATTATTTTGATTAGTTACAAAATAACAAAATTATCGAAATATCCAAATTTTTGACAATAATTATATACGTCCTAAGGTATATTTAGCAACAAATTATTTTGCGCATATTAAAAATAGTTGCAAAAATGTAGCTATAGCAACCAAATTGGATTTAGTCGCCAAAATTAATTGATATTTTCATATTCCCCCCCAATTTTCGTGTTCCGGCCAGAGGAAAATCATAGGTAACCAAAATGATTATTTGACAACTAAAAAATTAGCTCCAAATTATAGTGTTTGGCAACTAAAATTTTAGCTGCTAAATATGGTTTACAAAATATGAAATATACTAATGGTAACAAAAAAATTAGTTAAAAAAATAATGAACCAAAGAAATGACTAATATTTTAAATTAATTACCCATTCCTATATAAAACCAACCTAATTCCCAATTCTTGGTTCCCAATTTCCCCTTTGATATTTTTAGCTTACACAAACAAAGAGTTTTCAAGAATGGGCCAAGATGATGAGGACCCAGAAAAGCGTGGGTCAAAATCATCATCGCCGTACAAATGGTTGAGCAACTTTCACCATGATCTGTTGGCAGGGGCGGTTATGGGCGTTGTAGTGCACACGATTGTGGCCCCAATTGAGGGAGCGAAACTATTGTTGCAGACCCAAGACAGCAACCTGACCATTGTTGGGAGTGGACGAAGACAATTTAAGGGTATGCTTGGTTGCATTGTCCGTATAGTCCGAGAAGAAGGCCTTTTATCTCTTTGGAGAGGCAATGGCAGTAGTGTGCTTCGTTATTATCCTTCTGTTGCGCTTAATTTCTCTCCTAAGGTATCTAATCAAGATTTTTTTTTTTTTTTTTGAAACTTTAGTTTATTGTTATCTTGCTTTAGTTTTAATGCAATTTTTATTGGTTTGTACGGTTTTTTTCGTTTGGTGTTGTTTCTTGAATATTTTTCCGGAGGTTTAATACTTTGTCAGTTATTTTTTTGTGTATAATTGATTTCAATTGGGTATTTAAAGTATTTCCGAGTAAAGAAAATTGGAATGCGACTGACCTGCAAGTCAGACCACCGGGACCTAGAACAGGACAGCCCCACTTGTCGTTGCAGTGAACTATTCCTCCTCCATTCAATATGTCTGCCATATTCTTTTTCCTTTTCTTTGATTCAGGTTTAAGTTATTGTGCCTTCCGTGTTAGCTAGCATTTCTTTTTCTATTAGCTCATGTTCCGTGTTCTTGTGTTAAACACATAGGTGGCACAAACAGCAGATTGGTTCATGGCTTTCGTGGCCTCGCTATTTCATGCATTAGAGACAATGCCAACACATGCACATGTTCAATCTTTTTTACCAAATTTAAGCCCAACTGCTTCTCTAAAGCTTAGTTTTATACAATTAAAAGAAAGCACTTGAAAACAGACACCTCTTTTATGGCCCTGCTATAACAATTACTTGGTGTTACCAAAGGAGATTAATTTCCCAGCAGGATTAACAGTTGAAGGATTTAGAATCTGATGCACAATTTCCTGAAATTCATTAGTTTCTGTAATCTGAGTGCATAAACATCTAGTAGAATGGTAAACTTAATTTGTAGAATCTCTTGAGCGTATGAAACTCTGTTATCATCCGGAACTTTAATACATACTTAATACTTTGTCAGTATAAAATGAATCGAATGTAATTTTGGGTAAACAATTTCGATGCAGATACCTTAATACTTTGTCAGTTATTCAAGGTACCACTTTTGCATAAATATAGATGGAGTGATATTACTGTGGAGGCTGAAAGTAGTAAAATCTCTAATGAAATCGAGTCTCTTACAGATCCCGTGTAGAAGGTGAGGTATTTCAGATACCTGGGTTGCACATATATTTACACAATTTCGTACTCAGTATCCATGTGTGGGTATTTGAGTTTGCAGATTCCAATAGACTGGAGAGTGATCTTGAAGAGTTGAATTGCTCTTTGAATTTAGTTGCATCACAGGTTGGTTCTCCATTGACAACAATTTTTTTCTTTTACTATTTGTTTCAAACTAGTTCTTCTGTGGTTAGAAAAATAATATTAGCTCAAGCTTATCACCATTTTCCCTGTTTATTGCAAATTGCAGCAATAATTGTAAAAGGTAGGAGACAGAGTGATTTAACACTCCAAATGCACAGGGATGGGGGCATCCAAGTAATAGACAATTACAATAGGTGAAAAAGAAGCCAAGAATAATAATGGAAGGTCAGATACTTTGTATAATACTGATAAAGTCGTCTTTTATATTATACAAAATTAGTATAAGAATCCAAAAAGATCCATGCCGTCACTGAAACCTGATGGTCAAGTCAACAATCTAGTCAAAAAGTTGTTAATTGCACTAGGGCTCAAGGATGACAATGATTAAGGTTTGGTATATATGTAGACCCCAAAATATCACTTTTTCCTAATTATTATCCAAGCTCTAAACCCACTATTATGGGTTTGTACCAAACTCATCTCCTGTTTTTTGGATAAGTTTTTTTTATTTTTTATTTTTTTTTAATGATAAGGGTATTTGAGTTAGTTTGCATGTACTTTTACTAATCCTCAAGGACAATTAAATACCGTACAAGTCTAGTATTCTGAGATAAGCTACAAATGTAGTAAGTGACTGCAATATTTGAATTCACGAAATCAATAAAATGAGCAAATCTTCTTGACTACTAGACCAACCCTTTGGGTATACCAAACTCATCTCAAACTTGTTAATTTTAAACCATTAACAAACCTTCCAATTAGATACTAGTATTCTCGGATTTCCAGGTCAAATTATCATCTCTATTCACTTTTAGACTCTATGGTTAACATGTTTACCAATGAAATGAGAACATATTTGATTCAGGGTCGGCCCAAGGGGTAGGCAGGTGAGGCACCTGCCTAGGGCCCCCAAAAAAAAAGCCCCAAAAAGGGGTCCAAAATTATTTTAAGATTTTTTAAAATTAATTTATAGAAATACCATTGGACCTAAAAAAGTTTATAATTTTTTATCCAAACCGGTCCAAAGGGCACAAAAAAGCCAAAAAGGCCCGAATTCATTATAATTTTTTTACATAAATTTACCAAAAAACCATGTTTCATATTTTCCATTCACACCCCTAAATTAACTAAACTAGCTATTTAAATTCCTAAAATTTCAAAGCACCCACTCAATCCCTAAAATAATGAAAACATTGCATCTCCACCCCTTTACACCGTCATAGTGTCACTGTCGGCGTTACAGTGATGATTCCGATCAATTTTCTCACCAAAATCGACTGGATTCATCACTTAATCATTTCCAAAATGTTTTCCTAGCCTTGACAACCCCCAATTTGGCCGATTTTTGTTGATTTTCGCAACCCATTTTCATTCTTTACTGTGTGTGATAGCTATTTCTGGCACGTATTCGCTGTCGTTGACCTTCACCGACACCACCATCTTCGTCCCCTCAGCCCCCTCTCCAAAACCCCTCACTTACTTGACCCCGGTAGCCCGCCATCCACCTCTCACCCTCACAAGAAAGATTAGGTAATTTGGTTGTATTAACAATTGAAAAAGATTTGGTTTTTAAACTTGAATATAAAAATTTAATTAGAGATTTTGTATCTCAAAAGGTAAGAAAAATAAATTTAAAATAATTTTTTAATATATGCTTATATTATTAAAAGGTTTCTTATCTAAGGAATGTTTTTGAAACGCCCTGATTTGTTTCCATAAGTAATTGTCCCTTCAAAAGCAAGGGAGATATCACTTTCTTTATTCTATCAATGGCACTTCCTTTGTCAGCACATTTAATGGCACTTCCTTTGTCAGCACATTTCAAATCAAAACTGACGATAAATAAAGACATAAAATAACTTGTTTCTTGTTCCATTGATTTCTTTAATCCGAAGATCCTTCTGAAATAAATAGGTTTGATCCATCCCCACATATTCACATGCAGATCTTTTATTTAGTGCAGTAAAGTAAATAAAATAAAAGAAGAGACAGGAGAAAGAAATTGAAACACCCACTTATTGCAGTGGGAAGAGTCAAAAGCAACCCCAGTTTGGCAGATTCCCTTCCATGATTTTGGAACAGGTCCCATTCCTCCGTCATTAAAGCTTTCTGATTCTGGCCATATACCTAATTATAATAACAATAAACAAACTCACTTTCACGTGTAATCATATTTCTTAAAAAAACAAATCGGAGCAAGTTTTTACTAGAAAATTACAGAGAGGATAAGAGAAAGTCACATGTAAAACAGAACATATGCAAACAAATTCAACTTGATTTCAAATTAGTTTATGGCTTTTACCACTATCCAAGACGCCAACTATTACTTCTTGTCCGTATTTGGCTTTCGATAAGAGGCCTTCTCCACCCTCGTTTAAGCCTACAAATTCCCATGATCTTGTTGTCTGTAATGTGTACAATCCTGGTTCGCTTTTATGCACTGATACAACTTCTTCCAATTCTGTCAAATAATCATATGCATATCAATTGTTTGCTATGAGTGTCACAACAAACAGAAAGTAAAACAAATTAAGAGATTAATTTGATTCCAACTTACCTGAAAGTTTGGAGGCTTCATCAGAAGTGAGCACTGCGGCGAAGCCATTGATGCTGTATTGGTAACTGTAAAGACGAGAAGCCTTAGCTTCTTCCTCATTGTTTTTCACAGAGAGCAAATATGAATGGTGGGTGTCTTCTATCTCATGCAATGCTTTTTCTCCATTGTGTCCACGAAACTGAACTATGTAGATCTGTCATCATTCAAATTAACCATATTAAGTATATATTCATATACACATTCAACAAAAACTTCTGTCGCCAAAAACAACAAAAGAAAAAAAAAAAAGAGACTGCAAAAGACTTACGTTTTTTTCTTCACAAGAGGCTAATAGAGGAAGAAGAAAAAGAACGAATAGAAAGATATTGATATTGTTCATGGTTGGTAATTATATATCTTGTAGTTCTGATGATGAGTATTTATACTTGCGTAAAGTATATCTTAACAATTCAAAAAATTATATAACATATAAATCTATGATCATTGGGGGATAAGTGCTTCGTACGGTGGCTGAACTGACATATCACTCATGAGTATATCACGTATTGGCTTATAAATTCTCCATGTTGACATAATAATTAAAAAAAAATCACATTCAGGGGTGAAATTGCAAATTTTCAAACATAATCAATGGAGTGTTAACACAAGTTGATAATAATTTGCAAATGGAATACAAAAAAGATAATAATCAAATATTAAATTAAGCCACCCCTCTAACTATTATTGTTGACCTTATTTAATCCATCACTATATGCTTGCGACAAAATTAGGAGGAAATGCTTTCAAAACGATTTAATTAAACCTTTTTTTATTAAACAATATGATTAAAACGTAATTTTTGACCGATTCTATTATAAGATAACATTGTTTTTGTTTTATCAAATATGTTGAAATTAGTCAGTTTATTAACATAATACTAAAAACCGATCACAGAATAACCACGACGGTTTAATTTGTTACTATTTCTTACAAGGGTAGCAAGATTGTCCAAGAAAATGGAAGGGGTTATTAAGATTCGTATATTAATTTAATGTTTGAGAAAGAATAAGAATATGCTGATGTCAGTATTTATGATGACATCAGTATTATCGAGTAACTACCTGGGTCCATTTTTAAAACATGGATATTAATTTAACGTTTGAAAAAGGACAAAATATTTATAATCAGGATTTTTATGTTTAATCATATTTTAATTTGTAAAAGGTACTTAGGTATGTAGAATGTTGCTTCAACCGTTAACAAGAAAATTGTACCCAATAAAGTAAGAGTGATGCTATGGGTACTAATGGATGAGTACTAATATGTGTACTAACTAAAGCATAGTACCCGTACTATGTGCATAGTACGGGTACTATGCTTTAATTAGTACACATATTAGTACTCATCCATTAGTACCCAAAGTTTTATTCATAAAGTAATGCTTTAATTGAAAAGGAAAAAAAAATGTTCCGCTTGTGAAAGTATCTGGAAGTAATTTTTTTCTAAAATATTTTATCAAATGTTTCTCTAAAACATGATTTAAGTGTTGATATATTTTTTTTTTTTTAACTCAAAATTGTTTATGAAATATTTTACCTGATGTACACATCTAATTTCTTCTTGGTCATTATAATCTTCATCTTTCTTGAGTTTCTTTGTGCACAAATATCATGTTTTTACTTATATAGAACATGTAGTGGATAATTTCTCTTTTGGTTTGGAGATATCTTGCAAAATGGACTCTGCGATTAAGCAAGAAGTTTATTTGCAATTCAATCTTGTAACGGGTACTATATAAACACAATCATGATCTCTTTGAGGGAGAAGATCCTGAGAGAAAGACTAAGAAAAGAAAAAACCGGGAAGGAAAACTACTTGAGATGACTCTTTATAAATAAGAATAACTCTACAACTCAACTTGTAAATGCACTCAATAACATAATAGTGGACGTAAGTTTTGCATAAGAAACAGTCGAACAACATTAAAAAACCTATGAATATTATCATTCATTTGCTATCGTATTGCCCCTATAATCTATTGTCGATTCATCAAGATTACGCACTCATCTTATGTGATTCTAGCAGTGTCAATCACGTACCTCTGATTGATGCAATTTTCCGCATCAACAGAATGTAATTTTCTTAATACGAGTTTTGACACCTTGTGTTCTATTGACAACAAGAGTAAGAATAATAATTACGATATATAAGATAAAATTTTCAAAGAGAGAATTTATCCTTGAATTTTAAAATACATGTAAAATTTGAGATATAGTCAAGTACTGCATAATCTCTGTACAATATTAAGGAGGCGTTTGGATCATATAATGTTTTATTATAGGAGTATGTTATATTAACGGAAAAATATATCATCTTGAAGATTACTAAAAATGTTTAAAAAATATATTTGATTGATTTGAATAAATTGGTGAATAATATATTTTGTTGGGAAGATAAATGGGTGAGTATATTATATAGATTACTAAATTGCCCTCCTTTTAAAATATTAATATAATATTATTTTTTGAATAATTTCTTTTAACCTCCTATATTTGAAATTTTGTTAAAACACTCCAACTATATAAAACTTTAATTTGTAGCAAAATCAGCCTCACTTACCCCAAGCCACTGTTGGCAACAAGCCACCACTGGCAGTTAACGAAATAGCGCACAATTGGCCCTATGGTAGGTCGTGCACCGACAAAGCCATTTCCGGCCATGGATCACAAATCCATGGCCGTTTCATGGCCACAGATTCACGGCCATAGAAACGGCCAGTTTTGGTTGTTTTCGGCCATGGATGTGCTGGAAAAAGCCTTATTGGCGTACAACCGACTAGATCCCATGGTCGTACACCATTACGGCGACTGACGCCGATGGCTGGCGATGGTCTTGGGTAGCTGGGGGTATTTTGTTAAATTTTAAACTTTTTTGTGACTGGGGTGTTTTAGCTAATTTCTCAAATGTAGAGGGGCTCGGTAATGGTTATTTGGTAAATATTTGAGGACAATTGTGTCCGAAATGGTATTTAATTAAGGCCAAAATAGGTATAAAAATCAAGATTACCCAGTAATGTTTTAATCCTAGGAGTGGGGGAGGGTATCGGATTACCCACCACATTACCAATAATAAACACTATTTACAATAAAAAAATTATATTAATATTTTATTACTTGCAAACCAAACACCAGAATCTTGCAAAATAAACAAAGATTACCCTCGTTATCTTATATGCCCCTGATCTAAACGCATCCTAAGAGAACAAATACATTCAATATTTTTTACTGCAAGAAGACTATTTCCAAACTAAGAATAAACACCATCTAGCACAATCATACCTTGGGTGGTTTCCTTCACAATCTCGTTTACACAGTTCTAGATCATATCCTTATATGAGCCTAACTGGGTGCAACAAAATAACACCCCGTAAGGACTTTCTTTTATAAGCCATCTTCAATTAATCCTATATGAAATTGTATGTTATTTGGTGAAATGGGAATTAATTTATACACATTATATTGATCACAGAGTTGTTTGCTTGTTTCAACTTGTTAGGATGTCATAAAACCCACATCAAATCTAAGAATTTCACATTTCAATTTCAAACCCATTTATTAAACTTAACAAAAATCAAATGTATTATCCAAAATTAACTAAATACTGATTCAATAGACAATTACGTCAATTATATACATAAAATGATAAAAATAGCTTAAGCCAATATAGCTTATGATCTTTCATCAATTAAAAAGATAGAAGAAGATATTTTTAAGTAAAATAACAAAAAATGAACATGATCTTACCTTATGACCTCCAAATGAGTAGTATTTCTTGATTAATCAAACCAAATGAAGAAAAAAGTATGAGAGAAGATGAAAAAAACCGAGGAAGAGAGAAATATGAAAAAAAAAAATGAATATTTTTGAATCCCAAGACCAATAAAATATGAAAATATCTTGTAAGGTCAATAAAATATGGGTATTTTAGTATGATCAAAATTGTTAAATACTATAAAATATAAACCTATTTTTAATAATTTCATGATTTCTATGGGTCAAATGAAAATATCTTAGTAGGTTAATAATTTCACTGAATATACATTGGCTATAATACAAAAAAAAATTTGTCTAATTCATAAATCTATTAAAAAAAATTAAAAATTAATAAAATATCATTAATTTTTTTAGGCTAATCAAAAATTTATTTTGAATCGACTCTTAATTATTATTATTATTTTAAATTATTACCAACTTTAACGGAATAAGAAACTTAAAGAAAATTTCAACCAATTTAAAAATAAATATTTTAATAAATTGGGTGTGCTTAGAACATGCCGGTGATGTACTTAAGAAGAGTAATGGGCTGGGCTACACCATTTGCTTCTTCTTTGATCCTCATTGGGGTAATTAATTGATTTTCATTCTTTGTTTAAAAAAAAAAAAAGTAAAAAAAAGTTTGATTATGTTTTTCCAAAATTTATAATTGAATAACCAAAGTACGTTAATAATTGAATACTTCAAAATTAATGTTAAAAACAAGTGAGATTACAAATATATAATAATTTATGTTAAAACGGGTGATATTACAATATATAGTATTTTTAAATTCAAGTGATATATTATATCATATATGGCATCTTCATGCCACTTACTATATCAATATATCATTAATACACAAATGTCAAATTAAATGACATATATTACGTTAGGCTATATTAAACTAGATATATCATTTATATTCTTAACGAAACATATGAAAATTTTCTTCTTTATCATATAATGTTAGGCTATATTAAATCAGATAATCTAACTTTTACAAGACTGATTAGTAGATTAAGCCGTACTAGATTAAATAGTTTAAGCATTTTTAAAAGGCAAAACGTATTTTAGTTATTTTTGTCGTAAATATCATTGAGGTCAATTAAGTCTACTCACATGATTTTGTTATTTCTGTAATTTAAATAAAATCTTGACATTTTTGTCTTTTTAAGTATTAGAATGGCTATAAGGGTAATTTCCTAACAATTTTGGGATATTTTGCCAATATAAACAACACCTTAAATCTTCCCTTAAGATTTTATGTAAATTGCAAATTTCACGTTAATAATATTCTTATGATATAAGCAACTTCTCATTAACTTTGATATACCCTCCGGAGATAAATATTTTTATTCGTACAACACTCTTACCGGATCCTATCCAATCCGATCCAATCTGACTCGACTGGCTCATACTAATTCTCTAAGATTCATTAATAAGGAGATTTGAAAACAGTCAGATCTACTATCAAAGATCTAGTCGTTGACGACGACCATATTTTAGTCATCATTAACAACCATATTTCTAGCTGTCATCGTTGATGGCCAGATTTTTAGCCATAAATCTGGTCGGAAATGGACAGATCAGTTCATGACCGGTTAGATCCAGTCGGTCGTGCTTCGTTACGGCAACGGTGGTGACTGCTAGTGGGTGATAGTTGCTTGGGTGGGTAGGGGTCTTTTTGTTAATTTTAAAGCTTTTATTGAGAAATGTAATTGTTAAATGTTTTGAGTTGAATAGAATAAGATTGGATTTTGAATTGAATAGAAAAATAATTATTTTATTGGATTGGATAAGATAGGGTAAAAAATAGTGTGTCAAAAAGCAGCCTTTAATTTTTTTTTTTTTAAATGCGCCCTTCTTCCCCTTCTTCATAGCTTTGCCACTTTATATATATTAAAAATTTTCAATTATAGTGGTAGGATATTTTAGATCTAAATAATTTATTTCACTTTCAAATGTTTTTTTTAATAAATTAAAATCATTTTTGTTAACACTTTTCTCTATTTAATGGATTACTGGGAGGAAAGTCTCTATCAATATGGTCTATTAATTATTAATTTAAAGTCTTTAAAGTTTAATCATCTTAAATACGTCAATTACTTTAAAGTTGTATATGAAATTTATCCTTATAAAAGATGTTGGATCATTGGATGGGAAAAGAGGACTCAAAGCCCAAGTCATTTATACATCTAATACCATATTATTAGCCCCTAATAAATGATTAATTTAATGCAATTTGACATAAAATAATATAATATTATATATATATAATATATATATATTAAAATATATATATATATATATATATATTATATATATATATATTATATATATATATAAGCTTAGGTAAACACTGAATACATGAAACAACTTTAGACGTCATTAGTTTCCTTTATTTTCAAATAATTAAATAACACTTATTTATGATCACCATTTTTTCCTAATTCTTTAGATAATTATCTCTCATTAATATAAACATAAAATAAGATATATAAAAGATAAAATAAAAGTTTGATGAGATAAAACCTTTATGTATAATAAAATTTTTTAAAAAAAGGGGGGGATAATCTAAAATAAATTAATACATAAATCATAAAAAGCATTTACTTAGGTTTTAGAAAAATAATTTAGGGAAAAATTTGAGTAAAACTATAGTTTATGGTAAAAGGATTTGAAGTAATTTTAAAATAAAATTAAGTCAATTTTAATTAAACAAGCAAGACAAAGATTTTAAAAGGATTTAAGAAGTGGTTTTGAAAAGAATTAAAATAAAACGAAATCCCAAGGGTTAAACAAACAAGTTTCCAGGGGAGAAATAATTTATAAAATCAAAACAAATCAGAAAATTACGAAAAATTAAACTTCGTCTTCAATTTCTAAGATTTTGAAAATATAAAATCAATAAAAATTTTAACTAAAATTCTCATTTGTGGGACAGCTGTCATGCATGTGGTATAGTGTATAATAATGGTAAAAGTTTGCGTGATTGACGTTGAGATCTAGCTTTTGTTTATAAACATAAGACAAAATCTTCACGAATCTTATAACTACCATTAATCAATTACTTAATTTCAAATAATGCTTTGCTTTTGACTGACTTCATGATGATTATTTTGAACATTTTTCTTAACAATCAACACATTGAACCTAATTACATCTAGTCTCAAAATCAAAAAACCTCTGTTCCTCTCTTTCAAATCAATGGGAAACGTCTTCTCAGACTTGATTTCTGCCACATGTCAAGCCATTTTTCACTCCTTGCTGGATTGCACTTCCAAAAAAGTGGCATACATACGTGAGTTGAAGATAATGTTAATTCCTTACGGAAAGAATTGCAAGAATTGGTTGAAGCAAAGGCCGATGTGAAGAGGAGGGTTGACTTTGCTGAACAACGTCAACAAATGCCACGGCTGAGCAAGTGCAAGGGTGGCTTTCAAGGTTGGAAGCTGAGGAAACTGAAGTTGGTGAAATGCTACGTGACAGCTCTCAAGAAATTGAGAAATTATGTCTTGGAGGCTACTGTTCCAAGAAAATTCAATTCAAGCTACAAGTTTGGAAAGAAAGGGCCAAAAAGTTGCAATATGTGGTTAATTTGAAGAATGAGGGAGCTTTCGAAGTGGTAGCTCAGGAAGTACCAGAGCCTGCTGTGGACTGATCCCTATGCACACACATATGTGGGGTTGCAATCAACATTTGTATAATGGAAAGATTTGATGCTCTCATGGCAGGTGAATAGTGGGAACATTGCATTGCTTAGACACGGGAGTCGGCAAAACAAACTTACTAAAACCAAATCACAATAAGTTCTGCAATGAGACTCAAGGTTTGATGTTGTGATTTGGGTGGTGGTATCAAGTTCCGAATTTGAAAAGATTCAAGAAGACATTGGGAAAAAGATAGGTTTATTGACGATCATGGAAGCGTAAAAGTCTTCAGAGAAAGTGGGGTATCTTCAAGATATTGAGTAGCAAGAAGTTTGTTTTATGTTGGATGAATATGGAAATCGGATTAATTTAACTGAAGTGGGTTGTCCCTATCTCAAAATCAAAATCTGTATCGAAAGTAGTATTCACAACTCGATCTTTGAAGTTTGCGGCTCGATGAAAGCTCACAAGCCTTTCAAAGTGGAGTATTTGAGATGAGGAAGCATGGAAATGTTGTTTGGGACAATTTACAAAGTGATTGTTTGGGCAGTGATCCTAATATTCTCCGTTCGCAAAGAAGTGCAAAGAGTGTGCTGGTCTGCCACTTGCACTAGTAACCGTTGGTCGAGCCATGTCCTGCAAGAAGACACCCAAGATGGAGTTACGCAGCTATGTGTTAAGGAAATCAGCATCTAAATTTGCAGGTATGGGGACAGAAGTGTATCCTCTTTAAAGTTCAGTTATGATAGTTTGCCTAGTGACAAATTAGATCTTGTCTTTTATATTGTAGTTTATATCCAGAAGATTTCATATTAGTAACGGAAATTGATAGAGTGTTGGATAGGTGAGGGTTTTTGGATGATCTAATAAAAGTGAGTATATACCAGGGATATTATATTATTGGCATCCTTGTTCATTCATGTTTATTGGAGAAGAAAAAGATATTGAAGATAAAAGACGAGATTATGATGTAAAATGTGCATGATGTGATACGTGACATGGTTTTTGGATAGCAATGATATTGAGAAGGAAAAACAAATTATTAGTTGAAGCAGGGATTAATGAAGCACCAGAGATTGGAAAAAGGGTTGAAGTAAGAAAAATACATTAAGGACAATGCCATTGAGATTCTGTCACAAACACCTACCTGCCCTGATCTCCAAACTTTGTTTCTCAATGAAAATGAGTATCATTTGTCTGTGATGACTTCTTTAACTTTATGCCTTCTCTCAAAGTTTTGAATCTATCACGTAATAGGCTTTCTGAATTACCAGTTGGAGTTTCAAAATTGGTTTCATTACATATCTTGATCTGTCAGTAGTGTAGTATAACAGAGTTGCCAATTCAGTTAAAAGCCTTAACGAATCTGAATGTTTGAGCTGGAGAAATGATGAGCTAAAACAGCGCGTCAATTGATATCTAATCTTCAAAGTTACATACATTGAGAATGTACGGTGGCTTTCCGCATTTGGAGATGGAGCAGAGGATAGTGATTATTTGATGGTGGTGGTGAAAAATGGTGGAGGAATGTGATTGTTTGGAATATTTAAAGGTGTTGTCCATCACCTTGGGAAGTTACAATGCTCTCCAAAGACTTGTGACTCCGTTAAGTTACAGAGTTGTACTCAATCTATATCTTAGGGGTTATCATGAGTCAACGTCGTTCAATATTTCAGATCTAGCAACTCTCAAGCATATTATCTACTACGCATTGAAGAATGGAAGGGCTCTTATATGGGAATGCAGGGGATGTCAAAAAATACGGGAACCATCCAGTTTCTACGTCTTCACCCATCTAGAAATTAATGTGCAACTCATTGAGGGATTTGACATGGATGGTTTTATTCCATACCTCAAGTCTCTTGTTGTAGGCTCTTGTGTTGCGATGGAGGAAATCATCGATGTTGAAAAATTGGGTGAAGTTCCGAGATGATGTCAGATCTAATCCCTTTTCAGAATCTCCAAGTTCTTAACTTATTTATATACCAGAATTTGAAGAGCGTCTTGGGAAGGCCTTGCCCTTCCACGTCTCAAGGAAATTCGTGTAGCGTACTGCCCAAAGCTTAAGAAGCTTCCACTGGATTCAAATATGTGCAACGGAACATAAAATTGTTATCAAGGGAGAGAAAAAGTGGTGGAAAGAGTTGCAATGGGAGGATGAAGCAACTCTAAATGCTTTTCTTCCTTGTTTCAAATCTTTCTGGTATGCAATTTTATCTATATTTGTATAAAAAATTGTTGATTACTGAATGTAACCTATAGGTTGTCAGGATTGCTTGAAAAATCTCATAAATTAAACTCATTAAAAAATAATTATTTATATGAGCATCACAGATTCATTGAGATATCAAATCTAACCCCAACTGCTATTTAAGTATCTTTAAATACTTCTCATATTACTTGGAAGATTGATTAGATTGAAAACCCAGAAAAAAATATCTCCATGTTTTTTAGTATTTGTTATTTCATTCAAAGTGAAGAGCATCTTTTGTGAGGTCTTGTCTTCGCACATTTGAAATAAATTTATTTCTAGCTCCAGATGTGGGATGAATCGCATCACTGTATCAGAGTGCTAACTAGTTTCTTGATAATGTCTCTAAAAATTTGATTTAAAGCTTGAAGTTTCTTGAGATATCTAAGTCTAATTAGAAAATAATTATTTAATTTAGAGTGATTCTTAATTAATACTTACGTGTTTTGGCCAATTCATATCAATTTAGAATTCATGATATTCTTTTCGAAGTAAATATTACTTGTGGAAAGACATGTTGATCCTTTGTTTTTTAATGGATAGATTATTGGAAGAACATTAAACAGATTTTATGGTTTTGTGCATATAGAATATACTTATTATCTTTAATATTACCATGAATCCGCGGACTTCACAAATCGATCTGAAAAACTATGTTTATTGAATTATTTGCAGATAGATCAATAGCAATCGTGAATTTATGAGGCGCTGCAAAATGCTGTTGAATGTGGCATTAGAAGCTGTAGTTTGTGGTGCAAACCCTGTGGAAGGTAGATAAATATGGTTGAGATAGTTAATTACGATGCTTCTTTTCATGACTTGATTTATTTCACTTGTTTCTTTGTGTAACAACCTGTTGATCTCTTCCATTCCCGATTGGTTTGGTTTATGTAAACTTGAAATTTCAGCTAACCTCTCTATCACTCAGCAGACAGCAAGACTATGTAGCATCAGAGAATGAGCATTCCTTACTTTCTTGCTTGTGTTGCAGCATCTTGAAGGTTGATATATAAACTTCATTTAGTTTATATTGGCATCTATATGTGTGGAGTCTTCTAGGGGATGCTTTTCAACTGTTTTTTAGTCTTTACATATCCTTACAACACAAACTTCTTGAAACACTCTTTAGCCATTCCAACACTTGCAGAAAAGAAAACCGGTGCCAGAGAAGAAGTTCAAAACGAGGAAAGATATGAGGCCGTTCAAAATGATCAGCTTGATAAGAGGAATGCACGTTACATCACATTTAACTGCAGAGAGGCAAAGCTCCAGTAGATACAGCTTTTGGACAGTATTGCATTTTTATGTGACTGCTGCAGAGGACAAGCTAGACAATGCATGCAGCCCGTTGAAGGTCAAGGATTCCAACCTCCTGGATCAACTTTAGTGAGATACATTATGCTTTACCATCAGTAGTCAGATTAATCTTGACAGCGTGAATCTTCAGTTGGTAATTAATTATGGCATAGATTTTGTATCTCGCACTCTAAAGTCTGTGTTGTAAAATTTGTGAAAAAACTAATTCAATTCTTCCTTTCTGTGCCCCATAAACCATCAATTATTCCAGAGCAGCTATTTATATTCAAAATGGGATTGTGTTGCAGAGGAGCTATGTGGCACAAGTGACCAGATTTTGCACTTTTACTTGCCTGATTGGGTTTGTTAGTTAGCTTCTCCTCAGCTGCAAGTCTTGTTTTAAAGTAGTAATCCAATACTTCCTTTCTCTGTCCAATAAAACATCAATTATTATTCCAAATTAATAAGAAATTTAAAGTTCATCATGTAAACTAAAGCTATAGAGTATTGGAGAAATGATAGAATTATAAGAGAAAATCCCTAAATCCTATTGAATTTGAATCCCTAAGACTAAGACCCAAACACTTTACACAAACGACAACCCCTCTCAAACTTGCTGCCTCCCTCTCCATTCTCCATAATCTCCACTCTCGAGGACTCCAGTTGCCGTCTTCACTCTCCAACGACAAAAATGGAGGCTTCGACGACAACAACATAAGCTTCTTTGAGTCGATGCTCAAACTCGCCACCTTCCTCCATTCTCCATAATCTTCAACCAGTCGCCGACTTGCCGTCTTCAGTCTTCGACGAGGCTTCACTTCACAATCTTCCTACTTCATAGCCTTCATTGAAGCTCGACTGACGAGTGACGAGTTCAATCTTTGACAACAAAAATAGAAGCTTCGATAACTAACTAGTGGCTGTGATGGGTTCACTCTTCGCAATCTTCATTCTTCAGTCTTCACCAAAACAAAAACGAGTTCACTGATACGTTAAGTCGACGACTAACGAGTTCTTCAGTCTTCACCGATGACTGACAAGTTATTGCTGCTAGATTAAGCTTTTGTGTTTGGATGAGAAGAATTCACCAGAATAATTGGTGATTAATTTGTCAAGATTGTTGTGAATCATTTGGTTTTTTGGTCTCTTGAAATTTCTTTCTTCTAGAAGTAGAAAGTCAAGTACATCAGATTAACTTAAGGGTATGTTTCTAATAAAACCGGTTTGTAATCTGGTTAACCGGATCGCAAACTGAAAATTGGATCAGCTTGAAACCGGTTTAAGTCATATTTCTGACCGGGAGCAATGTTATAGTTATCGAAGAATGTACACTGAATGACCGGTTTTTTGTAGCACTACCATCAAGATGACAAAATTGATAATATTTTCTATTTATATTTTAAAAAAATTTGCCTCCCAAAAATAAATTTTCAATTCCTCTACCCTCTAATGAGATTCCAAATTTTCTAAAACTACTATGTCTGCAGGCTGCACCAAAAAATTCTTTTGAAGAATATGAAAATACTGTAATAAAGTAGAGAATAGAAATATTTTTTTTATTTTTTTATGTTTGTCTATTTCAAATTTCCAGTTATATATATATGATTGTCCATTTCTTTTGTTTTCCGTAATCAAAAGTTGATGGATAGATGAATAAACATTCCACATTTTTTAAGCATAATGTAGATTCTTAACAGTGGCATGCTACATTAATTAGGAAAACAGAAGTTCAAAGAAAAGAAAATAACATGCGGTCTTAACAAGATAATATGTCTTAAATTTTATCTAAATGTCATTACGAAGAATATCTCCATTGCCTATTGTTATAAGAGTCCTATGCCGAACAATAAAAAGAGATGACAGAAAACTGTAGAGAATAAGTGATATGAAAAACCACCACCGAATTGTATCAAGATTCGGATACTGGATTGTGATATGATAACTACCATCGAACGATATCAAGATTTGGATACTGAATTAATTAAAATAACCACAAAAAATTCTCAATAATTCATTAAAATAATAATTCACCAAAAACTTATTGCCCTAAAGGCTATAAAGACCTTTATTTATACTATAATTAACCTAAACTAGTTAGGAAATGGATAAACCTAATAATTAAAACAAATCTTATTCTAATATTGAAAACTTCTAAAACAAGAAATCTAATTTAATTAGAACAATTAAAATAAAATAAGAATTTAGGAAAGTCTAAATATAGGGAAGTAATATAATCTTTTTTTCTTAAATAATTTTAATAATATGTTTTCTGCATCATTCTCCCCACTAGTAGGAAATTCGCCCTCGAATTTCTAGCACGAACATCTTCATCTTCAACTTGCGTTAATTGAAATTCTTTTAAATTCATCTCCAAATAATATGCTTGAAGAACTTTTAAGTTTCCAATCTTAGTTATATCAATCAGTCCAATTGTTGGAAACAAAATTATGAAGCAAAATCTCCTTCAACTTTATCTTGTTGGAGTGATCATGCACATCTTCACAAAAACTGATGACAAAAGAATTTCTTTTAAAATTATCCATGTGTACTTCAAGGCAATCTTCTTCTTTAGGAATTGATTCTTCTTCAAAGATTTCATTGTCAATTTAGGGCGGTTCATCATGGTCATCAAAGTAATCATTGAAGTGATCATCATTGCTAACCACAATTTCATCATCAATTGTATTTTCAAACTCCTCTTCGTCCGTCGAGATCTCGAATTGCGCAAGTCGCCGTTGGAGATCTCAAACTTGCCTCCTCAGATTGTCCATCTCTACATCTAGTTGATCATGTTGATAATTAGCAACATCTTCCCCAGGAGCCACTCCACGACCACTTCCGCAACCTCATTGACCTCGACCATAATTCTGTTCAACCATCGATAAGAAACGTGAAACTCTGATACCAAATGATGCTGAAACAATAGAAAAAGATGACTAAAAACTGTAGAGAACAAGTGATACAAAAAACCACCACCGAATTGTATCAAGATTCAGATACTGGATTGTGATACGATAACCACCACTGAATGGTATCAAGATTCAAATACTAGATTAATTAATTGAAATAACCAAAAATGTTCTCAATAATTCATTAAAGTAATAATTCACCAAAAACTTATTGCCTTAAAGGCTAGAAAGACCTCTATTTATACTAGAATTAACCTAAACTATTTAGGAATGAGTAAACCTAATAATTAAAGCAAATCTTATTCTAGAATGGAAAACTTCTAAAACAAGAAATCTAATTTAATTAGAACTACTAAAATAAAATAATAATTTAGGAATAGGAAAGTCTAAATATAAGGAAAAAATTATATGTGTCATAGCATCAAAATGGGATTGTTGAACGAAAATACCATCACCTCTTGGAAGTAGCTCGAGCCCTCAAACACCAAGCCCACACTCCAACCACCTTTTGGGGCAAATGTGTCATTACTATAACCTATCTCATTAATCGCATGCATACGCGAGTTATTGGAGGTAAAACTCTTTTTGAATTACTGTTTAGAAAGAAACCTGATAACACTTACTTATGAGTTTTTGGTTGTCTGCGTTACTCCACCATTGTAGGTCCCTATGACAAGTATGCTCCTCATGCTAGAAAACGTATTTTAATGGGATACTCTATGCTTCAGAAAGGGTATCGTCTTGATGATCCCCAACATAACAAGTTTTTTGTTAGCAAAGATGTTATTTTCCATGAGTGTATTTTTCCCTTCTCTGACAATGAGATTTCATCCTCTACATCACCAACTGCACCATTGGATCATTTGTCACCATCAGACACTCCCATTACCATGGTTCCCATTCCCATTACTCAGCCCTATTCTGATCTTGTTGACACTCCACTAGTTGATCAGCATGCAGACTCTACCACTTCAGATGAACCTCTGCAATCTCAACACCACATATCTAACCACTACAGATCCCACTTAGGATGATTCTCCAATTATGGATCTGGTTCATCACATTCATTCACCAAATATTATTCCATTACGACGGTCATCCAGAGTTTCCCGACCACCTGTATGGATGGCTGACTACATCTGTTCCATTGTGAAGTTATTCCTTACCCCATATCTAATTATGTCAGTTTTGACAGATTTTCTCTTGGACACAGATCCTACTTGAGCAATATTTCCACTTATCGAGAACCTGCCACATTTTCTAATGCCATACAACATGATTGTCGGTATTAAGCCATGGAAGCAGAATTAAATGCCCTTATCAGCAATCACACATGGGATCTTGTTTCACGCCCTTCACACCGGAAACCTATTGGTTGTAAATGGATCTACAAAATCAAGCACCATGTTGATGGCTCCATTGAGAGGTACAAAACTCGACTTGTTACAAAAGGCTTCACCCAACGAGAAAGTTTTGACTATCGCAAAACCATCTCCCCTATAGCCAAACATGTTACTATTCGTGCTTTCCTTTCAGTTGCTTCTCACCATGATTGGCTTTCACCAGATGGATGTTCATAATGCCTTCCTCCATGGAGATTTCGATGACAAAATTTAAATGGATATTCCACCCATCCTTCGCAATTAGGGGGAGAATCTTATATGTAGATTATCAAAGTCTTTATATGGGCTAAAACAAACATCACAACAGTGGAATGCAAAGTTTACATAGGCTCTCACAGTCATTGGATTCACTCAATCCAAACATGATTACGCCATATTCTTCAAACAAAAGGGTGAGTCCTTCCTCAGTCTTATAATCTATGTTGATAACATTCTCATTACAAGAAACAACGAGAAAGCAATCACAAAATCAAAAGAGTATCCTCATAGTACATTCCCCATCAAAGACCTAAGGACACCAAAGTTATTTCTGGTATTGAGATTGTTCGTTCCTTAGAAGGAATATCCCTCAGCCAACAGAAGTATGTGCCTGAACTCATTTTAGATTCAAGGCTAGCAGCATGCAAACCAAGCGTCATTTTTGTAGAACAGAATGTTATACTCACCACAAAAGAATATGATGAGAAGAGTCAAAACTCTGAGATAGATCCCTTGCTAGAAGATAGCTCTAAATATCAACGGCTTGTCAGAAGACTCATATACCTTCCAATGACTCGACCAGACATCAGCTACGCAGTACAAATTATAGTCAAGAGTAAGAGTAAGAATAATAATTATGATATATAAGATAAAATTTTCAAAGAGAGAAATTATCCTTGAATTTAAAATAACATGTAAAATTTGAGATATAGTAAAGTACTGAGTAATCTCTGTACAATATTAAGGGAGCGTTTGGATCATATAATGTTTTATTGTAGGAGTATGTTATATTAACGGAAAATAGATCATCTTGAAGATTACTAGCAATGTTTAGAAAATGTATTTGGTTGATTTAAATAAATTGATGAATAATATGTTTGGTTGGAAGGATAAATGGGTGGGTATATTATATAGATTACTAAATTGCCCTCATTTTTAAATATTAATATAATATTATTTTTTTAATAATTTTTTTAACCCCCTATATTTAAAATTTTGCTAAAACACTCAAGTCATATAAAACTTTAATTTGTAGCAAAATCACCCCCACTCACCCTAAGTCACCACCGTCAGCCACCGCTGGTAGTTGACAAAATAGCGCACGACTAGTCGTATATGGTAGGTCGTGTGCTAGCAAAGCCATTTTCGGCCGTGGATCACAAATCCATGGCTGTTTCATGGCCAGATCTATAGCCATGAAATGGCCATAGAAATGGTGAGTTCTGGCCATTTTCAGCCATGGATGTGTTAGAAAATGCCTTACTGGCATACGACCGACTAGATCCCACCGATCGTGCACCATTACGGTGACTGACGCCGACGGCCGGTGGTGGTCTTGGGTAGCTGGGGTTATTTTGTTAACTTCTGAATTTTTTTATAATTGGGGTGTTTTAGTTAATTTCTCAAATGTAGGGGGGCTTAGTATGGTTATTTGGTAAACATTTTGAGGACAATTGTGTTCGAAACGATATTTAATTAAAGCCAAAATAGGTATAAAAATCAAGATTACCTAGTAATGTTTTAATCCCAGGGGTGGGGGAGGGTATCGGGTTACTCCCCACATTACCAATAGTAAACACAATTTGCAATAAAAAATTTTTGTAATATTTTATTACTTGCAAACCAAACACCGGAATCTTGTAAAATAAACAAAGATTGCCCTCGTTATCTTATATGCCTCCGATCCAAACGCATCCTAAGGGAACAAATACATTCAATATTTTTTACAGCAAGAAGAATATTTCCAAACTAAGAATAAACACCGTCTAGCACAATCATACCCTGGGTGGTCTCCTTCACAATCTCGTTTACACAGTTCCAAATCATATCCTCATGTGAGGCTAACTAGGTGCAGCAAATAACTCCCCGTAAGGACTTCTTTTATAAGCCATCTTCAATTAATCCTGTATGAAATTGTGGGGCAGTTTGGTTCGGGGTTAAGTGGCATTACTGGGGTAATGTCATCTTATATTACTTGATTACCACGTTTGGTTGTCAAGTAATATAAGATACCAGTAATCTTCAAATACCAATAGTGGTTACTATTGGTAATATAAGAGGTAATCTGATTATCTCCATTTTCTTAGGTTTTCTGAGATTACCAGGGTTATCTTTTTTTGTTACAATTTTATCCCTTATTAATAAAAATTTTGAACAATAATACCCTTACTTTAAAACAAATTTACATTAATATCCTATTTCAATTTTACCCTTGTTTAGTTAAAATTTTGGACAATAATGCCCTTATATTTAAAATAATTTACAGACCACTACTGCCACCAAGCCACCACCACCACAGCCACCCAGCCACCACCGCCGACAGCGGGTCAACCACCACGGACCACCGCCGGAAAATTACCGGAGTCCCTAAAAACACTAGAAATTCTGTGGGAGGCTCCGGGAGGCTTCGATATGGTCGGAAATGGCCAGATCTAGCCAGATCTGGCCCGATATGGTCATTTTCGGCCATCAATATGGCCGGAAACGGCCATAACGAAGTCTTCCGGAGCCTCCCGCAGAATTTCCTTCTTTTTTAGGAGCTTCGGCGATTTTCCGGCGGTTGTTCGCGGTGGCGGCAGGCGGCGGCAGGAGGTAGGGGTGATTTCGTCATGAATTAAAGTTTTTTTATAAGCGGGGGTGTTTTAGCTAAATCTGAAATATTGGGGGTTAAAAAATTATTCAAAAATTAATAATAAAAATAATATTATATTAATATTTAAAAGAGGGTCAATTTAGTAATTTAAATAACATACCCACCAATTTATTCCCATAACCAAACATATTAATATAACATACCCACCAACTAACCAAACATATTTTCTTAAAGATTCCCAGTAATCTTCCAAGGTAATCTATCTTTCCAGTAATCCAATATTCCCAGTAATCTAACATTCCTGAATCAAACGCCCCCTGTATGTTATTTGGTGAAATGGGAATTAATTTATACACATTATATTGATCATAGAGTTGTTTGCTTGTTTTAACTTGTTAGGAAGTCATAAAACCCACATCAAATCTAAGAATTTCATATTTCAATTTCAAACTCATTTATTAAACTCAACCAAAACCAAATGCATGTATTACCCAACATTAACTGAATACTGATTCAATAGACAATTACGTCAATTATATACATAAAATTATAAAAACAGCCTAAGCCAGTATAGCTGATGATCTTTCGTCAATTAAAAAGATAGGAGAAGATATTTTTAAGTTAAAAAAATAATAATAATAAGCATCATCTTACCTTATGACCTCCAATTGAGTAGTATTTCTTGATTAATCCAACTAAAGGAAGAAGAAAATATGAGAGAAGAGGAGAGAAACTAAGGAAGAGATCAATGTGAAAAAAAAAATGAGGTGATGTACTTAAGAAAAGTAATGGGCTGGGCTACACCATGTGCTTCTTCTTTGATCCTCATTGGAGTAATTAATTGATTTTCATTCTTTGTTTTTTTTTTTTTTCCAAAATTTATAATTGAATAAAAAAAGTACATTAATAATTAAACAGTTCAAAATTAATGTTAAAAACGAATGATATTTAAAATATGTAATAATTTACGTTAAAACGAGTGATATTACAAATATATAGTATTTCTAAATTCAAGTGATATATTATATCCTAGATGGCATCGTCATGCCACTTATTATATCAATCTATCATCAGTACACAAATGTTAAATTAAATGACATATATTACGTTAGACTATAGTAAACTAGATATATCATTTATATTCTTAACGAAACATATGAAAGTTTTCTTCTTTATCATATAATGTTAGGCTATATTAAACCATGCTAGATTAAATAGTTTAAGCATTTTTAAAAGGCAAAACGTATTTTAGTGATTTTTGTCCTAAATATCATTAAGGTCAATTAAGTCAACTCACATGATTTTGTTGTTTCTGTAATTTACATAAAATCTTGACGTTTTTTGTATTTTTAAGTATTAGAATGGCTATAAAGATAATTTCTAACAATTTTGGGATATTTTGTCAATAGAAACAACACCTTAAATATTCCCTTAAGATTTTATGTAAATCGCAAATTTCACATTAATAATATTCTTATGATACAAGCAACTTTCATTAACCTTGATATTCTCTCTTGAGATATATATTTTTATTCTTACAACACCCTTACCGGATTCTATCCTATCCGATCCAATTTGACTCGACTAGGTCATGCCAATTCTCTAAGATTCATAATAAGGAGATTGAAAACCTTATTATGGTCTCGTTACCTAAACATATTACATTGATAAACACAAAAATAAATATTGGTCTTCCTGCTATTTTATGCATGAATAATATTATGTATATCAGTATATGTATACAAACCGTTTGCACAAAATAAATCATACAAACTAATGACCTCTAGTATGATAACACAATTTGAAATTAATGATAACTGAAACAAATTAAAGTGCAAGAAGTGGCAAATGTTTGTTTGTTTGTAAGTACTAATTTGTATAATAAGTTTGTACATATAATATTATTCGTTTATAGAATTTTATTCGTCCCAAATAGAATGGACTTTGGTTCCAAGAAAACTCTCGAAACAAATCCCTGACCCGACCCGTTATCATCCCCAGATTCACTGAAAAACAAGATTTAAGAGACATATCATGATTCATGTTATAAGCATCTTACACTAGTACTCACACTACACAATGTCTCACACAGAATCTAATCCCTTGCTTTAATGCTTTCACCAATCGTACACTGCCACGTGTGTCCAATCTTGAAAGTGTAGACTATATGTACCCCCTCTAGTATTGAAATGTTTCACTTACCTCCCTATCCTCAACATCTTTGTTAAATCTTATTGTTGACCGTGTTTGACTAACCTGAATAATCACCTAAAAAATATAGAAAAAGATTTAAATATAAACAGAAAAAATTTCAAATCTATAAAAAGATAAATTACTTATAAATAAAAAACTTCAAATATTTGAAAAAATTAGTCAATCTTGGTAAATTATATGTTTTTTCTTTTGTTTTTTAAAATGTTTATGAATATAATGTAGTTATAATGATTCCATATCAAATTGAAAATCCGAGGGTTTTGCAAATATTTTTTGGGTATTATCACATACTCCCTGAACGACTCCTTATCACAAAAAGTAATTTTAACCTAATAAATTAACATATAAAATCTAGAAAAATTCCCCTATATAATAATTTTCACTAATTTAAATTCAAATAATGTCAAAGTTTTGTTTAAAAGACAAATCCAACTATAAAATCATGTGATTTAACCAACTTAACCTCAAGGACAAGTAACAAAAACAAAAATAGTTGAAATACGCTAGATTATTGATCCAGCACGCTGTAGCATGGTTTAGAATACTATAATTAAAATGTTAAATTTTACTATTAAATAGTAGACTATCAAGTTGAGTATAGCTTATAATGATCTAGCGTTATATGTTATAAAACATATCATTTGTTGTTTCGTAAAAGGGTATAATTGGTAAATCATTAGATTTTATATTAGATTTATCCTTTAAATAAATTATTCACATTTTAGGAAATTAAGATTACTAAATTGACTATTTATGTCCAAACCCTTAAAATCTAATTACAAGGTGAGGTAAGTTAATAATTTTTTTTAATTATTATACAGTGACGTAAGTGTAAGAATCTGGAAACACAGGGATTTAATAGAACTTTAATTTATGAAGGATAAAAAATATCGAATCAAGCATAAACCCTAGACAGTTAAAGTCATTCTTCTTCTTCGCGTTTCAAAGCCGCAACGATAAATCTCTCTCGCTGGCTTTAAATCTTCTCAGACATAACGCACCGTTTTTGCACTGCAATGCCCTGTGCTCATCACTCTTGAAGCGTCACAGGTTCTTCATTAACTCACTTTATTTTATTTTTTTTCTTTTAATTAGGCCTTTCATTCTTTTTATATGTTTGTATTTTGATGTATTTTTTATTAGTTTGAATAGTATTTATGCATTAGAATTGAATTCAGCTAGCTGGGTTTTTTTTTCCTGCTAATTGGGTTTGGAATTCGGATAAAATTCTTTGCTTTTGGTTGAATTTTTTAAGAAACAATTTTCGAATACAATTATAACGTTTTTTTTTTATTTTTTTTATTATTTTTTTAATTTTAATGGTTGTTTGACTTTGAAAATGGGCTTTGAATTAACAAGCTATTCAGATTGTGTGTATAGTTTTAGAAAGTTATGTTTAAATCATGAAGTAAAGGAAATTGTTTGTTCTGTAGAATGTTATAATTGTGGGTAGGGAAATGGTTCGGTTGAAGTTGAACGTTTTTAGAAACCATTTCGGATAAAATTCCAAGATAAAGTTTCTTTTTTTGTTCTTTTTAATGGTTGTTTAACTTTGAAAACGGGTTTTGAATTAACTATGCATGTTAGATTGTATCGTTGTTTTCGAAAATTACTTTTTATATAATTTAGAATGGGGAATGCTTGGTTTGTAGAGTGTTGGGAATCTGATAAATTGTGGGTAGGAAAATGTTTTAATTGAAATGTTTTAGGACATAGTTCTTGGATACGATTGCAAGTAAAGTGTTTTATTTTTTAATGGTTGTTGAACTTTGTAAAGGGGTTTTGAATTAACTAAGCTTTTCTTATTGTATCTTAATTCTTGAAAATTATTTTGAAATCGTGAAGTAAGGGAAATGCTTGTTTTGTAGAATGTTGTGAATTAAATAATTGTGTTCTTCTTCTTTTTTTTTTTTTTTTTATCTTTTTGGTAGCAGAATGCTTTGGTTGAATTGCTTCTTGGAAAGAGTTTTCAGTTAAGATTTTGGGATGAATTGTTTCGTTTCAATGGTTGTTTAACTTTGTAAACGATATTTGAGCTAACTAAACTTTTTCATATTGTATCTTGGTTTTTGAAAATTTCAAATCATGAAGTAATCATAAATCAAAGTGCTTGTTTTGAAACATGTTGTGAATCAAATAAATTATTGGGTATATTTCATTGCTTATATGTTATTGAACAAGTAGAATAAGTGTTTTTTTAAATGAATATTTAATTTTGGAAACAAGCCTGGAATTAACCAAGCTTTTCAGGTTGTATCTTAAGTTTTGGAAATTATTTTTAAATATGCAGTAAATGGAATTCTTGTTTTGTAGAATGTTGCAAATCAAATGAATTATAGGCTTATTTTCTTGTTGGGTAGATTTTATTGTTAACTTAGCATATGGGTAATTGTTGGAACATGTGGTGTATTTAAGATGTTGGTGTACATATTTGTTTTGAATACAGTTATTCTCTGCTTCACGATATGGCGACAGACAGTGGGAAAAGTTTTGCAAGGAGAGATCGTTTATTGGAGATTGAGGCAAAGGCTAGGACTTGGTGGGAGGAAAGTGATGTTTTTAAAGCTGAAGCTGGTGAAAAGCCTCCTGAGCAAGGTGAAAAGTTCTTTGGAAACTTTCCATTTCCTTACATGAATGGGTATTTGCATCTAGGGCATGCGTTCTCGCTTTCCAAGCTTGAATTTGCAGCAGCTTATCATAGATTGAGAGGGGCAAATGTTCTCTTGCCATTTGGTTTCCACTGCACTGGTATGCCCATTAAGGCATCAGCTGATAAGCTTGCTCGGGAAATTAAGATGTTTGGGGAACCGCCAGTATTTGATAAAGAAGTGGAGGAGGAAGAAGAGCAGCCAGCAGCTGAGGATACCAGTGGTGCACCACCAGATAAGTTTAAGGGCAAGAAATCAAAGGCTGCAGCAAAATCTGGTGGACAGGTGTTCCAGTGGGAGATTATGCGCAGTTTTGGGCTTTCTGACAGTGAGATATCAGAATTTCAGAATCCAGAACAATGGCTCAAGTTTTTTCCTCCCTTGGCCAAGGAAGACTTGAAAGCTTTTGGCTTGGGCTGTGACTGGAGGCGTTCATTTGTCACCACAGAGATAAACCCATTTTTTGATTCCTTTGTAAAGTGGCAGATGAGGAAGTTAAAAGCCATGGGTAAGATCATTAAAGATGTGAGATACACAATATACTCTCCCTTAGATGACCAGCCATGTGCTGATCATGATAGGGCGACTGGCGAAGGAGTTCAGCCCCAGGATTATACTCTTATCAAGATGGAGGTGCTGCCACCATTCTCTTCTAAATTGAAACCTCTAGCAGATAAAAACAAAAAGTTGTTTCTGGTTGCTGCTACACTGAGACCAGAGACCATGTATGGGCAAACAAATGCATGGGTATTGCCAGATGGGAAGTATGGAGCATATGAAATCAATGATACTGATGTGTTTATTCTCACAGAGAGAGCGGCCCTTAACCTTGCCTATCAGAATTTCTCTAAGATCCCCAAGAAAACTAGTTGCTTGTTGGAGTTGACTGGTTCTGATTTGATTGGTCTTCCTTTGAAGTCTCCTCTTTCATTTAATGAGGTCATATACGCACTTCCCATGTTGACCATTCTAACAGATAAAGGTACAGGGATTGTGACCAGTGTTCCTAGTGATGCCCCTGATGATTATATGGCACTACATGATTTGAAAGCAAAACCAGCTCTCAGGGCAAAGTTTGATGTGAAGGATGAGTGGGTTTTACCCTTTGATATTGTACCCATAATCAACATTCCTGAATTTGGAGATAAATCTGCTGAAAAAGTTTGCTTGGATCTGAAAATTAAAAGCCAGAATGAGAAAGACAAGCTTGCAGAAGCTAAGAGGTTGACATACTTGAGAGGATTCACAGAGGGCACGATGCTTGTTGGAGAACATGCTGGGAAGAAGGTCCAGGAAGCTAAGCCATTGCTTAGGAGTATGCTCATAGAAACAGGACAGGCAATTATGTACAGTGAGCCTGAAAAGCGGGTCATGTCAAGGTCAGGCGATGAATGTGTTGTGGCTCTAACTGACCAATGGTACATAACGTATGGGGAAGAAGAATGGAGGAAACTGGCCGAGGAGTGCTTATCCAACATGAATCTCTATTCTGATGAGACACGGCATGGCTTTGAGCACACTTTAAGTTGGCTAAATCAATGGGCTTGCTCGCGATCTTTTGGCCTTGGAACCCGCATTCCTTGGGATCCACAGTTCCTTGTTGAGTCATTATCCGATTCTACCATTTACATGGCTTACTACACTGTAGCTCACTTGTTGCATGAAGGGGACATGTATGGAAAAACTACTGGTCCAATAGAACCTGGACAAATGACAGACGAAGTCTGGGAATTTATCTTCTGTGACGGTCCACATCCCAAATCATCTGATATCCCGTCATCTATTCTTAACAAGATGAAGCAAGAGTTTGAGTACTGGTACCCATTTGATCTTCGAGTTTCTGGTAAGGATCTCATCCAAAATCATTTGACATTCTGCATCTATAACCATACTGCCATTATGTCCAAGCAGCACTGGCCCCGTGGATTTAGGTGTAATGGGCATATAATGCTCAATTCTGAGAAGATGTCCAAGTCCACTGGTAATTTTAGGACACTGAAACAGGCCATTGAGGAATTCTCAGCAGATGCAACAAGATTTTCTCTAGCTGATGCTGGGGATGGTGTTGATGATGCAAATTTTGTTTTTGACACGGCAAATACTGGAATTCTTCGTTTGACTAAGGAGATCTCATGGATGGAGGAGGTTTTGGCTGCTGAATCATCTTTGAGAACAGGACCAGCATCAACTTATGCTGATCGGGTGTTTGAGAATGAGATAAATATTGCAGTCAAAATGACTGAACAGAATTATGCAAACTACATGTTTCGAGAAGCTCTTAAAACTGGTTTTTATGATCTTCAAGCTGCAAGGGATGAATACAGGTTCTCGTGTGGAGCTGGAGGTATGAATCGTGATTTGGTGTGGCGTTTTATGGATGTGCAGACTCGTCTTATCACTCCAATCTGCCCACACTATGCGGAGTATGTTTGGAGGGAGCTCTTGAAGAAGGATGGCTTGGCAGTGAAAGCAGGTTGGCCTGCAGCTGGCACTCCTGATCTGACCCTCAAGAGTGCCAATAAGTATTTGCAAGACTCGATTGTTTTGATGAGGAAGCTGCTTCAAAAGCAAATTCTGGGTTCGAAGAAAGCCAACAAGAAGGGGGCTCCAGTTGCAACACTAACCGAGGACAAGTTAAAGGGCTTGGTATATGTGAATGAGCAATTTGAGGGATGGAAGGCAGAATGCCTGAAGATCCTCCAAAGCAAATTTGACAGTAAGTCTCGAACCTTTGCGCCAGATGGAGAGATAATGGAGGCCTTGCAAAAGAGCTCGGTTGGTCAGGCAACAAACTTTAAACAGACCCAAAAGCTTTGTATGCCTTTCTTGAGATTTAAGAAGGATGAGGCGATCACAATCGGTCCTCATGCTTTGGATTTGAAGCTTCCATTTGGAGAGATTGATGTCCTTCAGGAGAATTTGGACTTGATTAAGAGGCAGCTTGGTCTCGAAGAGGTGGAAATATTATCTGCTGCTGACCCTGATGCTGTTGCCAAAGCTGGTTCTCTTGCTTCACTTCTAAGCCAGAATCCTCCTTCCCCTGGAAATCCCACTGCAATCTTCTTGTCAAGATAAGGTAATATAAATTTCTCGTATCTTGGTCTTCAAGGGCATATCCTTTGTTGGTTGGTGCACTGAGGTGTCTTTTTTCTTTTTCAGTACTTCTTTTAGTATGGGACATGGCATCTTTGCATTCTAAAATGTATTAAGATGATTCCATCTCTATTTTTCCATCATCATAATACTGCATTCTTTGTTATTGTTGATCGCGCCTTTGTATTCATGTAAAAGTTCGACAACATGTTCTTGTTGTGTGGATTATATTTGATGTTGACAACTGAAAATAAGTTCACCAGGTTTTGGTGAGAGCTACTTGCCTCGTAAATTTTTCAATTTGTTGAATCCTATACTTTTGTTACGATCTTTTAATGTTTACACACTATAATCCGATAACCGTTTTCAAGTTCATTCCCTTTCATGGTGTTTGAATTTCGATAATACTTGTGGATTATTTTCCAGGTAAGAATTAGCTAAATATTGCTTCGCTTTTCCCCCGTTTCCTTTATTTGAACAGGTAGTCGAGAGGCTTTGCGTCTAAGAAGATTGATTTGCCCCACCGGAAAGCTGGGAATTTTGCTATACTTATAATTACTTTCAGACAACCTCAAAGTGATCACAGAACAGAATTTGTGTTTTCAATTTGCCGGAAAACTGGTTTTTGTTACTGAAAGAAAATGTATTGCTGTGTTTTCTAGGTGAGAACTGGTTAAATATTTTTTCTTTGGAGATGCAGTATATAATGTTTATGTTCTGTTGTGGATCTCATGAAGCTTCTTAATAAATTAATTTTCAGTTGGTTTCATTAATGAAATCTCATACTAATATTTGATAATTAATTAATTTTTATTCAAGTAATTTTAAAAATACACAAAATTCAATATGTGGCAAACCATGAATGGTGGAAAAACATATTTCTGTTTTGGGCACTATTATAATTAATGGCTAATTTGAGGCTGGCAAAGTCTCTCAACGCATTCATATATTCTCATTTATTTTCTTATTTATTTTAAGTCTTTTACTAAATTAAATTTAGAGAAACTTTATTTACTCCTCCTGAGATTTAAACTACCAAACCACCCAGTAGTTTTAAAAAATTTAATTATAATCCCTAGAATTAGTTTGTTATCAAGTGATTTTTTTTTTTTTTTTTTTTAAGTCAAGTATATTTAATTGATTCTAAAATTAAAAAATATGTATATCTCGTTTTATTTATTTATGATTTTTCAAGAAAATTCACTTGAATTTAAAATGGTTATCTTTCCCTTAAATTAGGGTTATAAATAATAATTTAAATATTTGGTAATAATGAATACCTTTTTACATTAATTTTTATCATTGTTTTAAAAACTGGACCGGACCGGTTCGATTGGGATCGGCTATGACTCCGGTCCGGTTTACTATATAAGCCAGTAATATATTTAAAACCGCTTTGGACTGGTAACAGAC